CTTTGAACCAGTTAGAAGTTGTTCAACTGCATATCTTGCAATTAAGTCTAGAGGTCATTGAACTGAAAAGTTTAACCCTATGTTTCTGAATCTACAGATGTTGCCTGACCTGGGTGTTTTCAGCATTTGAAATAATAGGTTTTTAACTCCAGTCTGATGGAAGATTATTGAAAACCTCTCCAGTATTGGAAGAGTTTCTTAAACACTTATTCTCCATTTCATTAGTTACTACAGGTGGCTGATTCTTTTTCTAGATATGGGCTTGGTTTGCAGTGAGAGGAAAGCTGAAGTACTGTCTGCCTTCTCTGTGAGATTGGTCAAATTATCGGGACAGCATGGTGGTTCAGTGGTTAGCACTGCTGCATCACAGCACCAGGGACCTGGGTTTAATTCCACCCTTGTGCAACTGTCTGCGTGGAGTTTGCACGTTCTCCCCGTGTCTGCGTGGGTTTCCTCCAGGTGCTCCGGTTTCCTCCCACAGCCCAAAGATGTGCAGGCTATTTGGATTGGCCATGCTGAATTGCCCGTAGTGTTCAGGGGTGTGCAAATTAGGTGGGTTATGGGGAATGGGTCTCGGTGGGATGCTGTGAGGATTGGTGTGGGCTTGTTGGGCCGGAGGGCTTGTTTCCACACTGTAGGGATTCTATGATCTTCTATTATCTATGATATGGAAGCATGAGTACACATCGCTTACTGAATGTGTACTCTGAGTACCTGCATTTGCACAGTATATGCATGTGTTTGAAAACTTGGTGCATTTGATTAACATGGCAAAATAAAAAGTGGTGTTTGATCACTGAATGTTTTTTCCAGTTTTGAAAAGGTTACCAAATAGAAGTGAAGTACCTGTAAGATGTTTTCTAAAAAAGCTATGGTTTACGACTAAAATGTTAATTTTGTGGACATGACTGTGGCTGGTCAACAATTTCTATTGTATAATACTGCCTTAAATTTCTGAATTCTGATTTTATCAGAGCATGTGGTGCTGATCTTTTGTTTACACCAGACAATGCTGTGTAAGCTAAAAATCCTAATGGAGTGGCATTACAAAACATAAAAGGTGAAACCAAACAAAGCCAATCTAGAATGTTGGGGCTCCTGTAACCTTGATTGCGGTGTTCTATCGCTTACATTTTCAAATTGTAATGAATATTCTTTTTCTTAATTTTTTTTAAAACAAATACACTAATCAATTATCAAATAGTGATCTTGAAGCTATATGAATCATAAAGCTAGCATCCAGATTCAGTATGTAGTAGGCAGTGCAAATTGCATGGAACAGAAACAAGTTACTGGAAAAGCTCAGCAGGTCTGGTAGCACCTTTTGAAGAAAAAGAAACCAGTTAAAGTTTTGGGTCCAGTAACCCTTCCTCAGAACTGATGGTGACTGGGTAACAGCTACCATCAGTTCTCAGTAAGGGTCACCGGACCTGAAACGTTAACTGATTTCTTTTTCTTCACAGCAACCGCCATATCTGCTGAGCTTTTCAGTAACTTCTGTTTTTGTTCCTGATTTACAGCATCTGCAGTTCTTTCAGGTTTTTTTAATGCACTTGGAATGTTGGCCTTCATTTCAATGGGAATGTAGTATGAAAGTTTTTGCTAAGGCTGTACGAAGCACTAAAGAGCCATCAGCTGGAATGCTGTGAAGAGATTTTGGGTCTCTTTATTTAAGGAAGGATATACTGGCGTTGGAGGCCATTCAGAAAATGTTCATTAGGCTGGATATCAGATGTGCGACATTGCCTTATTGGGGGTGGGGGGGGTGGCTGAGTTGGGCCTGTGGTCATTGTAACTTAGAAGAATGAGAGGTGACGTTACTGAAACATAAAAGATTCCTAGAGATTTGACCGAGGTAGATTGTGTGGTTGTTTCCCCTTGTGGGAGAGTCTATGACCAGATGGCAGAATCTCAGAATAAGGGATTACATGTTAAAACAGATGAGGAATTTTTTCTAAAAGTAGTGTATGTGTGGAATTCTTTACTGCAGTGGGCTATCAAGGCTACGTCGTTAAATATATTTAAGGCTGAGCGAGAGCTTTTTAAATAGAAAGGAGTCGAGGGTTATGAGGAAAAGGCAGGATAGTGGAGTTGAGGATTCATCAGTAAGCTATGATCTAATTGAATGGCTGAGCAGACTTGATGGGCTAAATGGCCTACATCATCTCCATCTAATGCAATTTGAGCAATGCTTTCTTTTCATTGAATCTGTGTTATGGACCAGGTCAGACCCCTTCAAAATATTTTGAGGTAGCCTGCATCCAACATTTTCTTATTTTTAAAGGCAAATGTAAAGTGCTATGTTCCAGATACAATTTGACTGATCAAACTACTCAAAGTTAAACAAAACACAATTTATTCAAGCACTAATTAAAATACAACAAAAGAAAGAAGAACTAAGAATAACTTGACTCTATTGGAAAACTTAGCAGAATAAAGATATCGTAACTATTACTAATTAACTGTTCCAATATAACAACATCACAAAAACACATCCCTAGTCAAAAAAGGGAAATTCAGAAAACAGATTTTTTTTCCCCATGCAACCCAGCAACAGAGGAAAAACTGTCAAGCAAAAACTCGAGTAGCAGCCACGAGACATTTACTGCAGCTTCCAACATTGAGACTCCAAAAGCAACTGCTTAAAACTAGACCTATAAAAACTAAAAGAAAATCTAGAAATCCTGGTCTGAGAGCTGGTCACCTCAATCCAGGCTGCTTCTCTTGTTCCAACCTTTTTTTGAAAGAAATATCCAGTGCGCCACAAGCTGTTTACATTACCATAGACTGCTCAGTACCTCTCAATCAGTTTCTCTCTCGCAAGAGAAAGCAGGACATAATACTCCTGTTAAAGCCACGTTATTGTCACATCTGTAAACGCAGATTAAAGCTGTTATATGCTAACAATTTTCCGTGATTTGTTTTTGAATTGAATGTTAATTCATTTAACCTGGAACACATTCCGAATTATTTGCAGTGGCTGGCAATTGTGGCAGCTATTGCTTAGTTGATACCACTCTTGTTTCTGAGTCATGATAATCCGAGTCCCATTCAAAGATTTGAACACAAGTCATACCCTCGCTCCAGTGAGGTACTGCGAGTCATCTGTATTGCCAGAGGTATGCCATCTTTTGGATGAAACCGGGGCCATATATGCTTCCTGTGAACTTAAGTGATCCCATGGCACAATTTTGAAGAAGAGCACGGGAATTAGCTGTGGTACCTGACCAGTTTTTGTCCCTCAATCAACATTAAAATGTTTTTAAAAATTCTCAAATATTTTTTAAAAATCCTGGTCATTATTTCATTGCTGTTTGTTGTAACATGCTGTGGACAAAACACCTACTTTCTGACATTACAGTGGTGCACTTGAAATACTTTATTGGTTAAAAATTGGTGGTATTGACAATTGCCGTATAAGTGCAAATGTTTGGTTGGTCAGCTATTAAAAACACTGAACAAATGCATTATTTGAAAGAATCAGACCATTATATCAGCATTCAGTTCTGGTTAGCCTATTGAGCTTCCCTTTGTTTGACAGAAACCAAAACTGAACTGGTTCTATACTCATTGGAGTTTAGAAGGATGAGGGGGGATCTAATTGAAACTTACAGAACATTGAAACTTACAGAACACTGAATGGCCTGGACAAGTGGATGTTGGGAAGATGCTTCCATTGATAGGAGAGACTAGGACCCGAGGGCGCATCCTTTGAGTAAAGGGAAGACCTTTTAGAGCGGAGATAAGGAGAAACTTCTTCAGCCAGAGAGTGGTGAATCTATGGAATTCACTGCCACAGAAGGCTGTGGAGGCCAGGTCATTCCGTATATTTAAGACAGAGATAGATAGGTTCTTGATTATCAAGGGTTACGGGAAGAAAGCAGGAGAATGAGGTTGAGGAACTTATCAGCCATGATTGAATGGCGGAGCAGACTTGATGGGCCAAATGGCCTAATTTCTGCTCCTATGTCTTATAGTCTTACGGTCTTGTATACCTTGCTAGTCTGTAATGCATTGTGGTGTCTGTCTTAAAAAAACAGCACCCAGAGGCCTGTACTAATCCTGTGTAGCCAACCGTTTTAAAAAAAAAACTTTTATTAACAAGCAAACATGGATAAATGTATCTGAACTGAAATCATTAAATAAATTAGCTTATAGTGGAAGATGATGAAGCCTGCTTCCCTGGTGATGTAATAATTTGTATTTGGCACTTTCATTGCCATGGCCCAAGCTCAGTTCCTGGTCAGGAAATAAGAATTGTAGGGGTGGGTATGGCATAATGGTAGTGTTCCTATCTCTGCACCAGGAGGTACAAGTTCAATTCCCACGTGCTCCAGAAGTATGTTGTAACATGCAGGGTAGGAAATATCAATAACCTAGGTAATCTTGAGACCAACGTAACTTGTCTCTCCTCTTACTAAAATGAACAACAGTGGTGGGTCAGGCGGCATCCATACAGAGAGAGAGCCAGCTAACGTTTCAAGTCGAGATGTTTATGCTTGTTGATAATGTGTCTCAGCCCACTTGTGTCACCTATCATAATTTTAAGGCTTCAGATTTTTCCATTTAAGTCAGTAAAATCGAAGTAGAGCTCCTGGTTTATCAAAACCTAACTGTTTTTCCACCTCGCGTAACTTATTTATGACTTTGACTTGAATGAGTAACACCTGTAAATATAATTCCTGCTCAGTTGTATGATTGTGCAGTGGCCTGAAAAGTAGTGTGCAGAACCTGTTCTGAGAGTAATAACACAGTCACAAAAAAAGGAACTGTGTAGCAAAACTAAATTTTCAAGGGAATATTCCCTATTGTTACCCTTGAATAAGTTCCTAGTTCAGAATATAGGTTGTTGATAGTCAAACTGTTACTGCACAAACCTGATTCCTGAGTTGAAGGGATTAAGGAAATATTAATACAGGGAAGGCAGATGAATATATATGTAAGAATGATTAGAGGTTGTGATTTAACTTTTCTTGATTAAATTAGACTTTTTCTTTCAGCTTTTGTTACTTTGCTGAATGGAGAACAAGCGTTGGATGCCATTCACAAATTTCACAAGTCCAGTTTCCAGGAAAGAGAGATATCTGTTCAACTACAACCTACTGATAGCTTGCTCTGCATTACTCAGTTACCTTTGTCCTACACTCAACAACAATTTGAAGAGCTGGTCCGCCTTTACGGGAATGTGGAGAGATGTTTCCTGGTGTATAGTGAGACAACTGGTCATTCAAAGGGTTATGGTTTTGTCGAATATATGAAGAAGGACTCTGCTGCTCGAGCTAAATCTGAACTTATGGGTAAACAGCTGGGACCTTGCATACTGTATGTGCAGTGGACAGATGCTGATCATCTCTCAGCTGATTTCCTTCACTCGAAGTGCCTTTGTATAGATAAAATTCCCCACGATTATAAGGATACAACGGAGCTGACAGAGCTCTTCTCTCAGATGTTTAAGCCAGTTTTCTGTCAGGTATGTAGAGCAGGGAGGCAATGTGTCTTGGCTGTTCTTGTTCATTGGCATGTGCTGTTTGTAATTGCAGAAGTTGTAATCTTTTTAAGTTGGTTATACAGCTTTATGAATCATAATACAAATTAGATAACCTTACTTTGTGGCATTGAGAAACCATAAAACCTTTTGCCTGGGGTCTAAAGGCTTGTCATCTATTCACTTTTTAATTTCTGATTTTCATTTTTACTGTTTTACTGTTTTAAACTGTTTTGCAAAATGGACCATGACCTTGTGTTTCTAAGTTTAATTTTCCAACGATAAGTGCCAAGAGAATTTTTATCTGAAATATGAAGTAGCCTTGCATAAACTAACTAAATGTCACAATGTCAATAGTGCCTGTGCATCTTTTATGGAGGAGCTGACTTGACAGTTGGTGGGTTGGTGGATGGGTGGGTGGGCGCGGTTTCCATTGACAGGAGAAGCAAGGAACAAGATTAATTAGATGAAATGAGCTTTTTCCATGGATCTCACACTCTACTCCAACATTGGTTGCATAAATATTCCTCTAAAATCCAAAAATGATGTTCACCCATTTTGGACTTGCGTAGTTTTAATCCTGACCTGTTGTCCTTTGTGTCTCTCTTCTGTTTCTGATCTTTTTTTTCTCACTAAATTTGCTGGGTGATATGGTTATATTGGATTATTGTTTTGTCTTGAAAGTCAGAACCCAGAGTAAATAAAGGTTATTTGTAAAATTGGAAGGAATTCTTTTAATTGAACTTCTAGGTTTTGAGGGGGGGAGGGTGCGGGGTGGGAACATCAGGTCAAACCAATAAATTTTATATTTTTTTGTTGTTTTCCTTGCTGTCTTCCACTCTTGGCTTACGTGCAGCTGACTTGGAAATATGGCACTAGGACAGTTTTAATGAATACTGGATGATTCAAAATGGTATAATGTAGGTTAAAATGATTTCACCAACCACTCCTCTCCCCACCTCTCTCTACCACCACACCCCCCCACAACCCCTCACCTCTCCGAATTTGTTTTGAATAAGTTTCCTTGGATGACAGTAACTTTCCACTATCTTGTTATAGTGGCTGTTCTCCATATGTGCTGAAACAGTAAACATCCACCAACTGTTGAATTTAAGGGAAGCCCATTGCTGCCTCATCTGATTTTTGTGTGATATGTATGTATTCACATGCATTTTTTTGTTCAGCCTGGATACACTGTAACAACCAGGGAAACGGGGTCTATCTCCCCCCCCCCCCCCCCCCCTCTACTTTTCAGTTAAAAGGTCCCTCTGCCAGAGAGTGGGAAATGAATCAATTTGTTTCTTGTATGATTCTCAAACAGATTTACCAACTGAGCCAATACTATTTATTTGAACCCTCCTCATTTTCCAAGTCCTGTCTGTTTGTGTTATGTATGGCTGTAATTACAGGACAGGTGAACTTTATAAAGATTTGTGTTTTTTAAAATCTATTATGCTAGAATTTCTTGTTTCTTTTTGAAAAGTTGCTCTAGGTATTTGGACTTGTCTTTTTGGAAGCTTGTGTATCACTGAACAAGATTATCCAAAAAGGTCATATATTTTGTTTTTCAACCATTTTATTAAATCAACCCCTCTAAGACTTAAGTTCAAAAACTTCTAGTTGTCACTTCCTTCACTTGCCCAACATATGCTGCACTTGCTTTTGGGCAGAGCAGTAACGCCTAGTTTGGAAAGAAGGAATGAATTGAGCTAATTTGGAAAGTAGAGATAACAAGGTGTAGAGCTGGATGAACACAGAAGGCTGACGTTTTGGGTCTAGACCCTTCAGAAAAATTTGGAAAGTAATCCATTTTACTTTAAAGAGGGAAATAATGCTTTGTTTTAATGCACTTATTTGTCTTTTCATCTGTCAGCTTGCCCAGGCCTCAGGTAGCCATCCATCTTTTGCAGTGGTGGAGTATGAAACTGCAGACCAAGCTGAATTAGTGCAGCGATCTACTGATGGAATATTTTTTGGCGGTAGCCAAGCCCGCGTTTCATTTTGTGCACCAGGGCCTCGGGGGCGCAGTACACTCGCAGCACTTATTGCTGCTCAGAGGTTGGTAAGTCAAGTTTTTAAATCCCTTATTGGACTGAGGAATTGTATTGTCAAGCTGTAAGAACTGGAGGAATTTTGATTTTCGTTTTGTTCTTAGTTCAGTAACATTCAGGAATCTCCCTTGAGGGAGCTGAGTAGTTAGTCTCTGTTTATTTTCAAGTGTTTTAGTCAGGAGAGTTGGAAGTTGCAAGCCTACGGTTTATAATTATCACAGTTTTATGCTTGGATGCAACTATATTGCCATCTGTTTGTATTTCAAAACAAAAACTTGTATTTGTAAAGCTAAATCAATAGTCTACCAAGACTTGAATAGTCTGAGAAATTTGTTGCTTTCCCCCCACCCCCTACTTTGTCAACCTATCCACTCTCACTCCCAAAGACTGCTTCTGAGATTCAGACACCCCTGTGACCCCTCTTTCAAATAGCTAATCTTGAGCCTTGATGGTGAGTGTTGTCAGGCCTCTAAAATAGCAATGCCAGTGCCAACCCAGGGCTGTGTTCTTTATTTGAGATATTATACCAATATTGTTGGATCTTTACCAGATTCTGCAATCACATTTGAGTTGAGGATTTTTAAATGAGATATCTCGTTAAAATCCATAAATTCTACAAATATCATTCTAACAAATTACAAATGTAATCTTTTGGAAGTGCTGCAGAATATTACGAAGACGCTTAAAATAATCTGCTCACTGATGCTCAGTTTGGATTCCGCCAGGGCCATTCAGCTCGTGACCTCATTGCACCCATGGTCCAAAAGCAAGCAAAAGAGCTCACTTCTGGTGATGAAGTGAAAGTGACTGCCCGTGGCATCGAGGCTTTATGTGATCCAAGTGGCATCATGGAGCCCTAACAAAATTAGAGGTTTTGGGAATTGTGGGAGGAGCAGGAAGAGATGTCTGCTGGTTGCAGTTGCAACTAGCACAAAGGAAGATGGTTGTAGATGTGGGTCAGTCTCACCTCCCCTTGAGGACATTTCTGCAGGAGTTCTTCTGGGTAGTGTCCTAGACGCATCCATCTCAGCTGTTTCATCAAAGTTCTCTCCATCACATGATCCGAAGTAGAGATGTTTGAATGCACAAAATATTAGCAGAACGCAGAATAAACTAGGACCAGAATACAAAAAGTGTAAAAGAGTCAAAAAGGCCAGTCTAAAGGTACTATATCTGAATGCATGGAGCATTTGCAATAAAGTTGATGAATTAACAATACCAGTAGTTGCCCACAGTATTTTACGATTGCAGATACAGAGACATAGTGATCAAAGCTGGGAACTGAACATCCAAGTGTATTTGATCTTTAAGAAGAAGAGGCAAAATGGACAATGTGGTCAAGTGATGTTCTTAGTGCAAGATTAAATCATTGCAATGGTAATATTGGCCCATGAACCCCAGATGTGGAATTAGTCAAGGTGGAACTAAGAAGGAATGGGGGTGGCAGAAATTATTCTTGGAATGTACACAATGAAATTTTAAATCGGTACATTGAAGAGCCAGCTTGGGGGACAGACTATTTAGATTTATTTATTTGCATTGGAAAGGGGTTAACAAGTCTTTTGTACAACATCCTTTTGAAAATAATTGCCTGTAACATGATAGAATTCTTCATTGGGATAAAAGGTGGAGCAGTTCAAACCGAAGCTAGGAATCCAAATCTAAACAAAGGAAACTTAACAACTTCTCCTTCAAATCATCCCACTTCCTACAGACAGAGGGGGTGGCCAAGGGTACCCGCATGGGCCCAAGCTGTGCCTGCCTCTTTGTAGGATACGTGGAACAGTCCCTCTTCCGCAGTTACACTGGCCCCATCCCCCACCTCTTCCTCTGTTATATCGATGACTATCGGCGCCGCATTGTGCTCCCACGAGGAGCTCCAATACCTCTCTCCCCTTCCTGGACCCCTCCGTTTCCATTCTGGCAACCACCTGGAAACCGATATTTATTTCAAGCCTACCAACTCCCACAGCTACCTGAATACACCTCCTCTTACCCATCTTGCGGCAAGAATGCCATCTCCTCTTCCCAATTCCTTCACCTCTGCCACATCTGCTCCCGAGATGAGGCATTCCACTCACGGACATCCTAGATGTCCTCGTTTTTCAAGGACCGCAACTTCCCCTCCACAGTGGTTGAAAACACCCTCGACCACATCTCTCGCGTTTTCCGCAACTCATCCCTCATACCCCCTCCCCTCAATAACAACAAAAACAGAAACCCCCTCGTCCTCGCGTACCACCCCTCCAACCTCCGGATTCAACGCGTCATCTTCCGCCACCTGCAATCTGACCCCACTACCAAGGACATTTTTCCCTCCCCACCCTTATCTGCCTTCCAAAGGGACCGCTCTCTCTGTGACTTCCTTGTCCGCTCCACACTCCCCACTAGTCCCATCACCCCTGGCACTTTTCGCTGCAACCACAGGAAGTGCTACACTCCTCACCCCCATCCCAGGCCCCAAGAAAACCTTCCACGTTAAACAGATGTTCACCTGCACATCTGCTAATGTGGTATGTTGTATCCGCTGTTCCCGATGTGGCCTCCTCTGTCGGGGAAACCAAGCGGAGGCTTGGAGACCACTTTGTGGAACACTTACGTTCGGTTCGAGACAAACGACTGCACCTCCCAGTCGCGAACCACTTCAATTCCCCCTCCCACTCCTTGGACGACATGTCCATTCTGGGCCGCCTCCAGTGCTACAACAATGCCACCTGAAGGTTGCAGGAACAGCACCTCATGTTTCGCTTGGGAACCCTGCAGCCCAATGGTCTCAGGTGTGGACTTTACAAGCTTCAAAATCTGACCACCTCCCAAAACCAACCCAGCTCGTCCCCGCCTCCTTGACCTGTCTGTCTTTTCCCACCTATCCACTCCTCCCACCTCACTGACCAACCCCCACCCCCACCTCCTACCTACCAGCCGTATCCCTGCCTCCTTGACCTGTCTGTCTTCCCTTGACTGACCAACCCTCATCCTAACTCCCCACCTACGCTCACCTTTACTGGCTCCATCCCCGCCACCTTGACCTGTCCGTCTCCTCTCCACCTATCTGCTCTTTTATCCACCTTCCATCTACCCCTCTCTCTCTCTCTCTCTCTCTCTCTCTTTCAGAATCCCCTTCCCCTCCCCCATTTCTGAAGACGGGTCCAGACCCGAAATGTCAGCTTTCCTGCTTGGCCTGCTATGTTCCTCCAGCTCTACACCTTGTTATCTCAAACTACAAAGCAGTGTGTTGTCTGCAATCAACTGTGCAATTTCTTAAAAGGCATACCAGTAAATAGGAAATAGTTAATTTTAAAGAGCAAACGCATGTATTGCATGTTATACAAGGAAAATAGTGTTTGGTAAACCAACTGGAGTTTTTTCAGGGCGCAACTAGAAGAATAGTTGAGAGAACTAGTGGATGTAGTGTGTTTTGGATTTTTGAAGGTTTTTGATAAAGTTCAGTGTAAGAAATTGCTGTGAAAAATCAAAGATGATGGATTGCACTGATATATTAGTATGGACTGTGAATTAGTTAACAGACAGAAAACAAAGAGTAGGAGTAAATGGGTCACTTTTGTTATAGGGTACGACCAGGGTTCAGTACTTGGGTCCAACCTATTCGCTATATATGAACAATTTGGATAAGAGACTTAAGTGTAATATTAAATAAAAACTGAAAGAACTGTGGGTGCTGTAAATCAAACAAAAACAAAAATTGCTGGAAAAGCTTGGGAAGTCTGATGGCATCTGTGAGGAGACATCAGAGTTAATGTTAACTCTCATGTCTCTTCACAGATGCTGCTAGACCTGATCTTTTCCAGCAATTTCTGTTTTTTGTTTCAAGTATAATATTTCAGTTTGCTGATAAGACAGAACTAGGTGGTTGTGTGAGTGGTTGAGAATGTAAAGAGGCTTTAAAGTGATTTAGAAAAGTTGAGTGGACAAATATACAGCAAATGTATTTTCAGGGGAGGTAATGGCCGAGTAGTATTATCACTGGACTGGATCTAGGGATGATGTTTCACCTGGCCATGGGGTCACAGCCTAAGGAAATGCAGTTGAGATTACTTTGCTAATGATGAGCCTGTGGAATTCAATGCCATGTTTCTGTGGAGAACAAGTTACTGAATACATTTAAGTACAATCCTAGCAATTAAAGGTGTTAAGGTATATGGAGTGAGAGCAGGTTTACGGTTTTGAGATAGAGAATCAGCCAAGATCATTTTGAATGTGAAGCAGGCACAATGAGCTAATTGGTCTTCTACTCCTAATTTCTATGGTTTCATTCTTGACTCCTCAGATATTGAAGCAGTCAATGTCCAATGCATAAGACCTCGCGCGCACACACCAGAGGTTGCCGCTGACCAGTATACAGGTCAGTATGCTGACCAGTATACAGGTCAGTATGCCTACTGTGGCTACAGGAGCAGATCAGAGGCTGGAAATGCTGAAACAAATAATATGCCTCCTAACTCCCTAAAGTTGTCCACCATCCACAAGGCAAAGTAAGGGGTGCGATAGAATCCCTCCCGCCTCCCGGATGATTGCCGCTCTAATAATACTCAAGAAGCTTGACACCACCTCGGACAAAGCATCCCTATTGGCACCACATCCACAAACATTTATTCCCTCCCACATAGACAATCAGTAACAGCAGCGTGCATCATCGACAAGATGCGCTGCAGAAATTCACTGAGGCTCCTCAACACCTTCCAAACCATAACCATAAGCATCTAGAAGGACAAGGGCAATAAATATATGGTAACACCACCACCTGCAAGTTTCTCTAAGCTAGTCATTATCCTGACTTGGAAATATGTGGTCATTCCTTCAATGTTGCTGGGTCAAAATCCTGGAACTTCCTCCTTAACAGCATTGTGGGCATACCTATAATGGACTAGAGCAATTCAAGGAGTGCACTACTCCTTTATCGAGGGCAGTCAGGGTTGGATCAGCCAGTGTCGATGTCCCATGAATGAATAAAATAAAGGAACTCATTTATTTATGTGAAACTTTGTATGATGCATTTGTTATTGAAATGATTGGCTACGTAGCTCACTTAAAATTTCTCTTCTAAGTTGCTGAACAGCAGGAAGGGCCTTCTTCCTGAACCTAATCCGCTGCAGATTTTAAACAGCCTGGGTAATCCTGTTGCATTGCAATTACTACTGAGGCCTTACTTCCATGGGTATGCTGGCAAAAAAAGTGAGTACTGTTTCTTTATGAAGTAGTTCTGAGCTTGTGATGTTTTTCGACTCTTAACAGGATGCACCTCTCAAAGTATATTGTGATTCACAACTTCATCTGACTTATTTGAATGTTTTCATTTCTAAGTAGCTTTTTAAATCTGAGAGTTTTGATGGGTGAAAGTGTTTGAAAGAGTTCAGCATTTAGAAGGCACAAATAAGCACTTTATTTCCATGTGTATTCACTTACTTTTGAATTCTTCAGATGAAATTTGATATCTAATATGATCACTTGTAACTTGAGCAGTAAAGACTCATAGCATAGAGTATTGGAGTTCAGCCCACTTATTTTTTTGTGCTGACCCTTGTTGGAGCAATCCAAAACTCATGTTTTTTTTTTCCCCCCCCCACAGCATTGTTTTGTGCTCTAATAATCCAAATATTTATGGAATTTTAAAAAGTGTCAATGTTGCTGCCTTAATCACCCAGGTGGTACATCAGTCTATGCATAGACATTTTCACAAAGTTCCTTCTTACACTTTGGAAGTGTTTTAACTTGACGCTTAAGTCACTGACTCCAAACCAGTGAAAATATCCTTTCACGTTCAGTTTAGCAGAAACACTTAGTAATTCCATAAGCTTCTATCCAGTTTTCACATTGTCCTCTGATTCAAGTACCTTTTTTTAATTTCTTCTCATAAATAGTAACTTGCCATTTCTGGCATTTTCTTGCCAAACTTCTTTATATTTTCTGTTACACTGATGTCTTCTGTCTAGTGGAAAATCCAGAATTGCACTTAGTACTGTAACTGTGGACTGATCTGTATTTTGTCCAAATTTATCAAGTGTTCTTTGTCCTTATACTCTTGGTTCCTGTTTCTGTCTCTCCCTGTCTGCAATCAAACTTCCAGATAATTATATGCTTGACCATTTCAATCTGTGATAATCCATATCCTCTTTGCAGTCAGACCATCAGAAATAAGATCAGGAGTTGACTGCTTGACCCCTCACCTGGTGTGCCATTGAATAGGATCATAGCTGATCTGACATTCCTCAAGCCCACTTTCCTGCATTTTTCCTTCATAACCCTTGATTCCTTTACTGATCAAGAATCTGTCTATTTCAGACTTCAGTGTACGTGGGGACTTTCCCCTCACAGCTCTCTGTGGCAAGAAATTCCAAACAGCCTCAAACCTCAGAAGAAACTCCTTCTCATCCAGTCTTAAATTGGTGCCCCTTAATTCTGAGACTGTGCCCACTGGAGATTAAATAGTCTTTTGATTAAATGTATTTACCCATTCCCTTACATTTTGACAGGAAAATTTTATAGGCATATATTTGTCAGTTATCATCTTCATTCCGTAAACCTGTTTGTTTTTCTGAGGTCTTTTATGATCCCTCTGCTCTGTGCTGATTTTTGCTCTGTCGTCATATTAAATTCTGTGGCTACAAGAGCAGATCAGAGGCTAGTAATCCTGTAGTGAGTAACTTGCCTCCCATCCACCATATTCAGGTGCAAATCACAACAGCGTCTAATCTCCATGGGATACTGTATCTAACTAATTTTCATGAAATTGTTTTTAATCTACTGTGATTTGCTACATTTCCTCATGTTCTATATGGTTGATGTTTTCAATAATTATCTTGAAACATTTCACTGCATTCTGACAATTCACGTACAGTGCATCTATTTCATTGAGTTTACTTTCCTAATTGGTCTCCTTTTTTTTTGGAGAAGACTTTCGCATTTGTGAATATGCTTTGTCTTTAACAAGCAGGTGATCAAGAAAATACTTGAACATTTTTATCCTTGTATGTGTTTGAACTCTGCTCAAATAGCTAACTCGAATTGTTAAAAGTCACGTGGTGGCAGGAAGTTCTATTGTGATTTCCCATCACCTTTATATTGTAACGTTGACTTTGGTACTTGAGGAACCTGTCACATGAATAGCATGAACATTTGAAGTTTGAAGTACTCACGTTTGTCTGGATTCTGTCAGTGTAGTCACATTAACAGGACATTTAGCTTTGCACCTACACTGTGTAATTTAACGGTCTCTTTGGATATTGAGCACAAGTCGACCCCTTTTTTTAAACAAAAACTGCAGATGCTGGAAATCAGAAACAGAAATTGCTGGAGAATAACTCTGCAGATCTGGCACGTCTGTTGAGAGAAAGCAGGGTCACAGGACTTGAAACATTAACTCTGCTTTCTCTCAACAGATGCTGCCAAAACTGCTGAGTGTTTTTCCAGCAATTTCTTGTTTTTGTTCAATCGTTTTTAAGTTAGTGAGTACGCATGGCCATGCAAAAAGGGTCAATGTCCCAGTGCATTGATCATACAATAACGGGCATTGTTGAGTTTTTATTTACATAAAACAAAATCTTTTTCACTCAGATGGGGATCAGATCTCTTACCTTGTTGGACTCTGTCAACAATGTGACCCAAAGACAACAGCATTAATAGGCCTAAGCGATGATCTGCAGAACGGATTCTCTATGAAACCATGCTCAAACTGGAGCTGCTAGTAATAAGCTAGTGGTTTAATATTTCTCAATCTCCCTTTACTTAAAATCAGTTGGGCCAATGGGCTGAGGAGTGGCAGATGGAGTTTAATTTGGATAATGTCGGGTATTGCATTACAACACAAACAAGGACAGAACTTGTACAATTAATGATAGGCCCGTGGGGTATGTTGTAGAATAGAGACCTAGGGGTTCAGGTACATAATTCTTTGAAATTTGTTTCACAGACAGGATGGTTAAGAAGATGTCTAGCATGCTTGCCTTCATTGCTGAGACCTTTGAGTATAGGAGTTGAGATATCATGTTGAAATTGTACAGGATGTTGGTGTGGCCTCTTCTTGAGTACTGTGTGCAGTTCTGGTTGCTCTGTTATAGGAAGGATATTATTAAACTAGAGGATTCAGAAAAGATTTACCAGGACATTGCTGGGAATAGAGGGTTTGAGACATAAAAATATGTTGGAAAGATTGGGGCATTTTTCACTGCAGCACAGGAGGTTGAGGGGTGACCTTAGAGATTTATAAAACTATGATGGGCACAGATAAGGTGAATGACAAGGATCCTTCTCCTGGGGTGGGGGAAGTTCAAAACTAGGGGGCATATTTTTAAGGTGATAGGAGAAAGAATTAAAAAGGACGTGAGGCAACTTTTTTTACACTGTGATTTGTGTATGGGATGAACTGCCAGGCGAAGTGGTGGATGCAGGTACAGTTAGTGTTTAAAAGACATTTGGATAAGTTCATGAGTAGAAAAGATTTGGAATGATATGGGTCAATTGTAGGCAAGTGGGACTAGTTTAGTTTGGAAACAATGTTGGCATGGACTGGTTGGACTGAAGGGTCTGTTTCCATGCTGTATGACTCTGACTTTATAAAGCACCTAAGCTAAGAATTGGATGAAACTCTGGGTCAACTTGATAAATTTGAATGTGGCCTCCATTGACTGAGGAGTAGGAAGAAACAGATGAATTCTTCTGATGTTTTACATGATAGGAAAAAAGCCTCAGGTGTGATTATTACCACAAGCATGGTTTGGCAACATTCACTGTATAGGGTCACAATATTTTGTTGGACTAGACATTTAGAGGGGTGCTAACCTTTGTGTAAATATCAATTGTAAGTTTTCATGCCATTTAAAGAAAGTTTTTCTGTACTCTATAGTGGTGCAATTTGGAATGAATGATTAGATTGTGAACTACATACAAGCAATTTGTTTCTTCAGATTAACCTGTAATCTGATATGATCTTTCTAGGTATTTTGGGAAATACTAGCAACGTGCCAGTTCTGCCAAATCCTGTACTGACTGCAGCCCTACTTCAGATAAATCAAACACAGGTAACTTCAAATAGAAACCATGCTTTCAGAAATGTATTCAAACATATAAAGCACACTTTGATAAATGCAGACAGTGCATTCAAGCTTAGTCTGGCTGAATTGTCAGATATAAGCTAGTGAAATTCTGCTAGACCGTGTCTTGGGTAGATTCCTTCAATAAAACTGGCAGGCAGTGGAAACTCCCAATTTTTGGTCTAGTGCATGTGACATGGCAGTAACTTTGGTAGGATGAGGGGGTTCCCTCAGCACCTCGCTTCCATGTAATCTTATGGAGATTTTAGGAATCCAAGCACCTTGCATGCCATCGGTTACTTTGAAATGCTGTGACAGGTACTAACTTAAAATTTCTTATACTTGTCTACTGGGGGGAAAAAAAAAAAGTGTTGTTAGAGTCATTAGTCTTTTATTCAACAAGACAATTTACAAGATACCCCAAAGTAAAGGGAAATCCACATTCTTTATATGAGAAGAAATTGTTGATTGGTTTGCAAATCTACTCTGGTAAAAACATTGCCATGCGAATGCACCAGTTAATGAGGCTGTTTCGCTTTGTTTAAAATTTAAACCAGACAGAATAAGAAAGGATATGGAGAATGGCTGACGCATATTCCTTTGAAACTGGTGCAGTATGTGTTTATGATCTTTCTATTACAAAGAACTGGACCCTGTTTATTAATAAATGTAGCTTCCAGTGCACCTCCAAGTGCAACATGATGGGTCAAGTGTTTGGTAATTGCCTTCTGTCCCTTCTTAGGCAATGCTCTTCTGTCAATTCCCATGCTTGGCTAGGGAGGAAATATCCTTTTTTTAAAATTGCTCATGAAACCCCAAGAATCTGATTTTTCTTTGAAGACTTCTTCTGTCGTCTGTTCCCAAAGAATGTTTGGTATGATGGGCTTTTCTTTCAAATGGCTAATTTCTTGCTTGACTAGAGACTCACTTGTATTTCCTTGTTGGCCACTCTAGCAATACTGCTGACGGGGAGGAGATAGAGTGGAGTTGTTACCGGAAGTGTTGGCTATGAATTTTGACGGCCGTGAGTGTCTATCTGAAGGAAAATGTGTGCATAGCTAGATGTGCAGGGATCTTGGAGGTTTTTTTATAAGAAACAATTTCTTGAAGTCAAAAATACGTTTTCACCTGCAGTGAAAAAATATGCCATTCTTCCTCCCATTGGCTCCCACCCACCCCTTCTCTCCAGCCTTTTCGCCCACCCTCCTCCTTTCTGTACAAGAAGTATTCATTTAATTTACACGCTGAGTGAATATCAGTACGCCATATGATGTGGGATAAGTATAAAATCCTGTCTCTTCTGGTCCATCTCCTCCATCTAATCATAAACCAATGAATCATTTCATGAGTGATTGTGACTGAGAGTTCTTAATTTTGATTCTTCATCTTGGTAATGTTGAAGATAATTGCTTCTTCCATTCTCCTCCATAAGTCAACCATGGATAACCAAAGAAATTAGGGACAGTATTAAGTTGGAAAAAATACGTATAAGGAGGCCAAAGTCAGTGATATCCCTGAAGATTGGGATAAATTCAGAATCTAGCAAAGAAGAATTAAAATGATTATCAAGACAGAAAATAAACTGAGGACAAACTAGTGAGGAAATATAAAAACTAAAAAGAGCTTCTTTAAATATCTAAGAAAGGATAGATAGGTCAAAGTGAGCATAGGCCATTTTGGAATTTTTTTTTTATTCATTCGTGGGATGAGGGTGTTGCTGGCCGGCAGCATTTATTGCCCGTCCTTAATTGCCCAGAGGAGGTTTCAGAGTCAACCACATTGCTATGGATCTGGAATCACATGCAGGCCAGACCAGGTAAGGATGGCAGTTTCCTTCCCTAAAGGACATTAGTGAACCAGATGGGTTTTTCCGACAATCAACAATGGATCCATGGTCATCATTAGACTCTTAATTCCAGATATTTATTGAATTCAAATTCCACCGTCTGCCATGGTGGAATTCAAACCCACGAGATTATCCGGGTCTCTGGCTTAACAGCCCAGCGATAATACCACTAGGCCATCGCCTCCCCTAAAAGTGAAACTAGGGAGACCATTTTTGGGAACAGTGAAATGATGGAGGAGTTAAACAGATATTTTGCATCCATCTCTATGGGGAAGATGCATCGACCATCCCGTTAATGCTGAGGAATATGGGGAACGAATTGAGAACCACCACCATCATTAGAGAAGTAGTATTAGGCAATCTAGTAGGGCTAAAGGTAGATAGATTGTCTGGACCTACTTCCTAGGATTGTAAAAGAGATACAGATTGTACAGAGATAGCGGATGCTTTGGTTGCAACTTCCCAAAAATTGTTGGATTCTGGAGAAGTGCGAGAGTATTAATACTGTGTCTGACTTTCTTGGCTAGCCATGGTTGACTTATGGAGGAGAATGGAAGCAGCAATTATCTGCAGCATAACCAAGATGAAGGCGCAAAATTAAGAACTGTTAATATGACAACCCTGTTCAAAAAGGGAGGGATACGAAAAGTGGGTAGCAGTAGGCTGATTAGCCTAACATCAATTATATTGGAATCAATTATTTAAGGAACACACTGAACATTTGGAAAATTGTGATCTAATCAAGTAGAATCAGCATGCCTTCATGAAAGGGTAATAGTGTCTGACTAATTTAGAGTTTTTCTAGAAGTCTGAACCAGAGTGAGCAGAGAAGAACTAGTAGATGTATTGTACTTGGATTTCAAGAAGGTGCTCAACAAGATACTTAACAAAATGATGGTGCAATGATAACAACCCCGCCCCACCCTCTCAATGTTGGTAACGCTGAATAACTGACTGGTTATTGACTTAAGAAAGAAAGGAGGAGAACATGTCCCCATCTACATCAACAGAGCGGAAGTTGATGTGGGTTGAGTGTGTCAAGTTCTTAGGAGTGACAATAACCGACCGTCTGTCCTGGACTTAACCGTGCAGATGTGACAGTGAAGAAGGCACAGCAATGCCTCTACTTTCTTAGGCGGCTCAGGAAATTTGGCATGTCCGTAAAGACCCTCACCAACTTTTACAGATGCACCATAGAAAGCATACTGTCTGGGTGCATCATGGCCTGGTATAGCAATTGCTGTGCCCAGGACCGTATTTTTAAAAAAAACAACTACAGTAGGTTCTGTGCATAGCCCAGGCCATCACAGACGCCACCCTCCCATCCATGAATTCCATTTATACATCTTGTTTCTGCGGAAAGGCTGCCAACATCATCAAATACCCATGCCACCCCAGTAATGCTCTCCTACAACCTCTTCCATCAGGCAGAAGATACAGAAGCTTGAACACCTGCACCAGCAGGTTCAAGAACAGCTTCTCCCCTGCTGCTGTTAGACTGATGTATGGACTCTAACTTAAAATAATGCTAAAATAATGTTAATCTTGTCTAGCACGTGTCCTGTATGCCTTACTTTATGCAAGTTTTATTTCGCCCTACGATCTGTATGTCCTTGCTTACTATGATCTACCTATACTGCTCACAAACAAAGCTTTTCACTGTACTTAGGTCCACATGACATAAAGTCACATCTAATCAAAAGTTTGTCATGTGCTAGGATCCCATGGTATTGGATGTAGTATATAGCATGAATAGAGAATTGGCTCATGGGCATGAAACAGTGAGTGGGAATAAGGGCTGCTTATTTAGATTGGTGACCTGTAACCAGTTGGGTTCTACAGGGATCAGTGCTGGAATCACAGCTGTTTGCAATATATGTTAGACTTGGAGAAATGAAGTGATTGTACTGTAGCCAAATTTTGCAGAAAACACACATAGGTGGAAAGGCAAATTGAGAGGGATGCAAACAGTTTAGAGAGATATTGATACGTTAAATAAGTGGGTGAAAAGTTGGCAAATGCAGTATGATGTGAAGAAATGTTATTCATTTTGGAAGGCAGAACAAAAGAATGGGATGTTATTTAAATGGAGGAAATCTGCAGAAAGCTGCAACACACGGAGACTTTGGGGTTGTTGTGCATGAGATGCAGAAAGCTAGCACACGGATGCTGCAGGTAATCTGGAAGGCAAATGGAATGCTAGTCCTTAATTTGAGGGCACTGGAGTATAAGAGTAGAGAAGTCTTCCTGCAGCTGTACAAGGTGCTGGTGAGATCACAAATGCAGCACTGAGCAGTTTTGGTCCCCTTATTTAAGGAAAGATATCATTTTATTGGAGGCAGGTCAGAGAAGGTTCACCAAGGTGATCCCCAGTATGGAGAGATTGTCTTATGGATTGTCAGCTGTGGGGGGGCAGAGTCCTTGTTTATATTTAAGGCTGACATAGATCCTTGATTATTAGGGCAGGAAAGTGGAGATGAGGAATGTTGGATCAGCCCCGTGATCTTATTGAATGATGGAGCAGGTTTAAGGGGCTGACTGGCCTACTTCTGTTCCTATATTTTATAGCCTTATTCCTCAACGTTTACTGAAAACAAAGTATTGTTCCCATGCTATGTTATTGTACGACTTGAATTAATTTGGTTTATGTATCATTGTGTTGTGTGACCAACTTCATTTTAATTTCTTAGAATGCTGTGTTGGGAAATGGAGTGTTTCAGAATCTAGTACAAATGCAAGCAGCACAACAGCAGCTCCTGAACAAGAAGAATCCAGCAATCAGCAATGTGAGTTAATGTTTAGATTCTAGCTGACATAATCTCAAATCCTTAACTGTATTTATGTTATGTTTCTTCTCAGTGCTGTTTTGTTCTTGGCATTCACCCATTTCTCCTGAATGCATCAATTTGTGCATTAGCATGATTGCGCAGATCTTATGGCTATATGCAATGGCCTTTGTGTAAAGTTTGATTGTGAGAGTTGGCAGGGATGTCAGTTGGAGGCGGTAAGAGGGAAACTTTTGAATTAACAACCGATATCTTATTTACGGTTTTCACACGTCACTGAGTTTGCCATACTTCTTAGATGCACTCAGATGTTTGTAAGTCTTATGACAATTTTACGGACTTGTTTTATTCCCGTTTTGGAGAATTCTGTTCCATATGACACTACTATCCTATGACTCTTATAAACCCATTGCAAGTAAGAAAAATAGTAATTCGTATTGTCTTAATTCACTGGCTAGTATTGTATGTTAAATTAGCACATTTTAAAAATTAATTTTTGTTACTTGCAAACTTCAGACAAGTGTTTTGTGAAATGATCACACCTCCTCCGAGATCATTTCAGCTCATGTAGATCATTATAATGAGTTCTTATTCCCAACACCTTTTTTTGAAGTGCTTATTCTTGCCTTGAGATCCAGCTAAATTTTGATAAAACACTGGAAAATTAACAAGTCCTGCCTGGTAAATGCCTCCAGCAAAGTATAAGCATCCTATTATATGCAAGTGATAAAGCACCAACCTTTTGATCTTATTTTAAATTGAAAAATCAAACACTTCAAATTTGACACATCTCTTCAGAGGCTACATTCTTGAACCAGCAATTTTTTTTTAACGTATCTATTCTGAAGCTCCTAATCTTTTGAAAGTAACTTTTTCCAGACACAACAAAATGCTCCTTCCATTAAAGGAAACTGATGATGATTAATTGTTTTTCTTGAAATTTCAAATTTTTTTTCTTATGAAGTATTCAGTGTTTTCCCCCCGATCTTTAAACCCTTTTTCACAAATCAAAAAGGAAGGGAGGCAGAAAAAAGAAAACAATAGGCTGGTTAGCTTCATGTCTGCCATTACGAAAGCATTGGAATTGATCATCAAGAGATTATAACTTTACACTTGATAAGACTCCGTTGGAAACATCAGCATAGTTTCATAAAAGGAAAACCAAAAGAACCATGGATGCTGTAAATCAGAGACAAAAATAGAAATTGTTAGAAAAGCTCAGCAGGTTTGGCAGCATCTGTGGAGAGAAATCAGAGTTAGTGTTTTGGGTTGAGTGACCCTTCCTCAAACATAATAGGAAACCCATTTAATCAACTTAGTGTTCTTTGTCAGAATAACGTACTTGAGAGTAAAAGAATGCCTGTAGATCTTCTATACTGGGACTTCCTCAAGGCACTTAGTAAGGTGCCCTATTAAAGGTTATTGCGGAAAATAAGAGCTCGTGATGTCGAGGGTAACGTTAGATTGGCTGGAGGAAAGTAGAAAGTGTGCAGAAATGGGTCTTCGTTTGATTAGCAGGATGTGATAGGTAGAGTTCCATGGGGATCTTTGCTAATCTTTCAGCTTTGTACAGCTTACATCAGTGACTTAAATGAGAGGGAATGCATGATATCCCTTCCCACATTGCTGCTGCTCATACCCCTCAGTACTGCTACCAAACCCTTTCCCCTCCCCCTCAAAAAAGTCAATGAGATCAAGTACAGTCTAACATTGTTAGCTGCTAATAAAATAAACATGGAAAATGGGCATTGAGAAGAGTTTAGAGGCTGAAACAATGTTGTGCTGAGTTAAATGTGTGGGGAAGAATGTAGCAGATGATGTTTAACGTTTGGACATGAGATTTTCCTTTGGTAAGGTAAGTATGAAAAGGTGTTTTTGGGACGTCCTTGGCAAGACTATACTTACAGTACTGTTTTGATCTTCTTGACTGATGGAACCTATGTCTGGAGAGGAGGGGTGCTGCTAAGGTTGTTAGATTTGTTTGCTAAATTTGAAGGGTTTTTCCATGAAGGATTCAGTGCAATGGACCTACATTCTCGAACATTTAGTGAATGAAGAGGTAGTGTAATTGGCACAATTCTGAAGAGGCTTAATTTCACCTCCAAGTTGTTTATACATATTATAAACAACAGGGGTCCTAGCACTGATCTCTGCGGAACAGCACTGGTCATAGATCTCCAGTCGAGAAAGTACACTTTCACCGCTACTGTCTATCTTTTATGACTGAGTCAGTTCAATATCCAGCTTACCAGCTCACTGCAGATCCCATGTGACTTCAATTTTTGATTAGATTGAAATAACTTTCTCAATGCAGGATCCATTTGTTGCATTTCTATTAAAGAAGATAGACTAAACCTGTTGGTCTCGTTGTCTTTTTCCCCTCATTCTTTTCAGTTAAACATTTTTGAAAAATCAGATCTGAATTTTGAAGTCCTCTCTTGAAATTGTTCCCCCTTTTTCACAGGCTACTCTTGTCTTCCCTTCTAAATCTGTACGCCTGAGAAATAGTCACAACGTAGCGTATATTTCACTTCAATTTGTTGTTCCACCACATTTGGTGAGACCAATATTTTTGAACAAACCATGTCATTTGCCAAGGTAGTTTCAATCCCTTTATAAGGATTTGTTGCACTGTTCACTGCAATTTCTCAATTGCGAAGTCACTCTTCAGTCCACCTCTATGTATTGGATCTGGTATGTAACATTCCTGCGCAATTCCAATTAACTAAACTATAAAATGTACGCCATTTGGCATCTTAAGTCTGTCCTGCCATTCCATGAGGTCATGGGTGATCTGATAATCCTCACCTCTACTTTTCCTGCCTTTTTCCCCCGTAAACCCTTGATTTCTTTACTGATTAAAAATCTGTTTCCCAGACTTAAATATTCTTAGCCTGTCTTGACAGCACTCTGCGATAAAGAATTTCACAGATCCATCAACCTCTGAAAGAAGAAATTCCTCCTCATCTGTCTTAAATGGGCAACCCCTTACTCTGAGATTGTGCTTGAAAAAACTCCACAGAGGCCAATTCTGTCACCAAGTTGCCCTTGTTTACATGTTCTTGGTATTTGACATTGGTCTGGCCTCCTCCAAGCCAGCTCCAAGAGAGCAGAATCTCTGACACTGTTTATATGTCAGCCAGGGCTGTCTGATTGGACCAGGTTAACAGTCCCAGTCAGGGAACTCTTATAAGGTCTACCTGGCTGATCTCATTACAATAACTACATCTCTCCGCCTCTAAGTCCGGGGAAGTAGGCATGTTCTTTCTTGTAGCCTGTCTGGCGTTTTTGCACCAGGTCTAGTTCCTTCAATTCAGCCTTGGATGCAGGCAGCGTGTACTGGATCATAGCCTGCCTCTTAAGCCCAGAGTGTGTCAATTATCCTATTCCTAAGGTAGAGTATGAGGTGCTGCTCCTCAAGTTTCTGGGTGATGTCATTATGACACTGAAGGAGGCCCAGGATGCACGTTCCCTAGGGATTGGATGGGGGAGTTGAAGTGGTTCAGGACTGGAAGGTGTTGTTGTTTGTCGTGAACAGAGCACAGGCACTCTACAAAGTGGTCTCTGCTTGATCTCGCCGATGTCGAGGAGGCTACGTTGGGAGCAGCAGATCCAATGGACCACGTTGACAGATGTGCAGGTGAACTGCATCTGCCTGATGTGGAAGGTTTGTTTGGTGCCTTGAATGGAGGTGTAGGGGCAGGTGTAGCACTTCCTGCAGTTGCAGGGAAAGGTGCCGGGGCTAGTGGGAGTGTGACGTGGACGAGTAGTCACAGAGAGAGCGGTCCCTATGAAAGGCAGATAGGGATGGGGAGGGAAATATATCTTTGGTTGTGGGGTTGGATTGTAGGCGGCGGAAGTGGCGGAGAATGATATGTTGAATACGGAGGTTAGTGGGATGATATGTGAGAACGGGGGGATTCTGTCTTTGTTTTTGGAGGGGAGGAGATATGAAGGCAGAGGTGCGGGAAACGCAAGAGATGCGGTCAAAAGCATTTTCAGCCACTGAAGGGGTGAACTTGTGGTCCTTGAAATAAGATGACATCTAGGATGTTCGGGAGCAGAACGCCCCATCCTAGGAGCAGACGAGGCTGAGGCAGAGACGCTGTCTGTCTTGTCTTCGAGTCATAAATTTAATAATATAAGCATCTCATCAATTAACTCCATTGGCATCCTGCTAGGTTCTTAACTAATTTACATACTTTCTTGGAGCTGGTGTATTAAGGTAACTGTTCCAAATGTCCTTCTGACTTTTTTTTAAAGTAATAAGTTATCTTCACAACTGAAGTGAAATCCGTAGAATAAAAATGAAGAGCTATGGATGCTGGAAATCTGAAACAAACACCAAGTGCTGGAAAATCTCAGCAGGTCTGACAGCACCTGTAGGGGAAAAAAAAACATTATTATTAAATCTGAATGCAGAAATTACGAAGGCGTGAAGTACAAATTGGCTGAGGTGGTTTGGGAAGTATATTAAAAGGCATGATTTTACATAAGCCAATAGACAGTTCTTTAAAAGAACTATTTCATGGCTTACAGAAATTATAAAATCATCAATGGTACAAAAACTCAGTCATTCAACAGTGGCTGACAATGGAGGGTTAAGGACTATATAAAATTAAAAGAAAAGGCATATACATATGCTAGAAATAGCAGTTCATCTGAAGATTGGGAGGTTTTAAAGCATATAGCAAAGGAGGATTAAGCAACAGATGAGTAAAGAGAATAGGATATGAATACAATATAGGAAAAGCATGACTAAAAGCTTCTATGGGCACATTAGTTTTGGCCCATCGTTACCTTTTTAATGTCGATCCATTACAAAAAGTGTTAGGAGAATTTATAACCAGAACATGGCTAAATAATTACATTGCCTGATTTTACTGAGGATGTTACAAGAAATCTCCCAGAATTAGAAATCCAAGATACCAGGGAGAGTGAGGAATTGAATTAAATAAGTTATTATTTGGATCGTACTGGAGAACCTAATGGGGCTGAAAGCTGACCAGTACTCTGGACATGATACTTTATATCCAGGGTGTTAAAGAAGTAATTTTAAAGATAGTTAATATGCTGGTAATCATCTTCCAAAATTCCATAGTTTCTGGGGTCATTCTCAGTGATTGGAAGCTAGCAAATATCACCTCACTCTCTTAGGGGGAGTGAGAGAAAATGAGGAACCACAGCCATGTTCGCCTTGCATCAGTAGTAGAGAAAATGTTAAACACTTGTAAAGGATGTTCAGAATAAACATCAATGATTTTAACGTGGGGACAAAATATTATAATTCCAGACTTGTGGTTGATACAAAACTTAGAAATATATTGTCAGGACTGGAAGGTTATCTGTTTGGAAGCCAAAGGAGATAATAGAATGTACTGGTTCAAGAACGAATTACAGAAGTACAGGAATACTGTGAAAAGTTTTTACAGTGGCTGTCTTCTAATGGTGCCATCATAGGTGCAAGTAACCCCCCCCCGGTACAAATCTGGGATACAAAAGACGAATGAAAAGAAAGTAGTAGCATTACTTATTGTCTAAAAAAATAAGTTAGAACTAAGATAATTATAACGTAGTTAAGGGATTGATGTTACAGTTTAGTAAGGAATTTCAAATAGCAGCAACTCAGCACATGGTCTGACCACCCGCACCAGACCCCAGTCTAACAACTGTCCTGCTCCACTCCAACCTCCAGTCCGCTCCGCGCCAGCACTCAGCTGGACAAGGAAAGTTGTGCTGCTCCGAGACTGCTAAAAGGAGAGGGAAGATTAAAGCAAATCAGGCGGAACAAAGGAGCTCCGGGTGGAGTGTCTTACTCTGCTGCCATCTTGCTGTTACTAAGGAGGCTCTTTAAAGAAAGATGTTAGGTTTAGGAAAGGAATTCCAGATCTTGGGCCCTGGATGTCTGTAACCACCACTTCGATGATGGACTAAATTCGTGGGAAATATAACGAACCCTATCGTTTGAGGGTCATAGTTTGTAGAAGTTTAAAATGCTGGAAAACAGTTACAGATACAGCAGGGATATTGAAGGTTTTGATCATGAACGTAAGAAATTTAAAATGAAGTTGGTAGACCAGCATGTTGAGAAAAGAAGCTGGATGTTATCTTTGTATTCCATAATGATCCTGGAATAGGAAGCATGGCTTGTGTGTTTGTGATCCCAGCACGTCGACCTCCTGGCGATTTTCTGCTTTTTCACTGAACATTATTTTCTCGTTCATTCCCTGACACAAAGGCACATGTTAACTTTCTCCGTGGACTCTATGTAAAAAGCTGCCTCTTCTAGTTACTGTAAACATGTGCTGGAATGGATCTCTTAAATTTCAATTGCCCTGGCCTCTTGGTAGGTTGTAAATGCTCAACTTGGTAAACACTGGAGCAATTATTTTACCAAATAATTGTGACTTAAGCTGAATGACAAGACCAAGATAGCTTGGAAATGTTGTTTTGACCCACTGGTTTAAGGGTTTCTGACCCTTAAGGAATGATCCTCCTTCCCCTTATAAAAGAACAAGTCACGCTTGCAGAGCTGAGAACTTTCAAATCCAGTATTTTACATACAGGTACATTGGCAGCACAGATGAAGGTGAAAATGTATTTGAGGAGAATAATCACTGCAGAACTATTGTGGCAAATTTTGTTTCAAAGGTTAAACCATGGGGTGAAGAGATTTTGTTCCTCCTGGAGCAGCAACCAAAGGGTGTCCTTTTGCAAGTGAGATGTGAACAACCTGAGATTGATGGTAATTATCAGAGGTTACCTTCTCAGTGATTTTGTAAATGAGGCTGTTGAGAGAATTAATTCATTTAGAAGTCATTAAACCTGTGTGACAAAGCTGTATTTTAAGGTCTAGTTTTGCATTAAAAGCAGTTTGCTGGAGTCAGCAATTTATTGAAAGCTGACCTGTAGCCCCAACGCATTGCCCATTGCAGAAAACAAAAATTGTTTTGCAATGTGAATTTAAACAAAATTGAACTCCGGGTGCAGCACGCAAGTTTTGCTTTAGCAGTAGTTTTTGCATGATGACCAACCACCGTGAGCAGGTGAAAAAGAATGAGAAGAAAGGATCCTGAATGTGTAGGAGCGATTAAGCTGAACCAGGTGGAAGGTACTTGATTCCAACAGCACTGATAGTAATTATCAAAATTGTACTGACTACTAACAGTGCTGCTGGTAGAACTTTATGCCCAAGAGTTATGCAGTCACTTGCTGTTGAACTATTTGTACCTGGTAGTAATAGTTGTAATGACCAGATGTGGCACCAATAACTAGTGATTGTACAATTTTGCTGTCAATAATACTGTTACTAGACAGAACCCATTGCATAGTTGAACTGTGAGCTTCAATCAGTATTTTGACCTCTCACAACAGGACCAGCTGATATTTGGACCAAGGACTGTTGAGTCCGTGTTTTGGGGCTATCTTATGGGACAGTGTTTCTAAACCACTTAAGATTGGCTCTTGGAAGGTATCCAAGCTGCACAGATTCCTTTTCCTTAATGGGAAAAGGAGAAAACATAATGGAGCAAGAGAAATGAGGGGAAATTCTGATTTATTTTTAACATTTTTATTTCCAGAAGCCCGGTTTACTCGGAGATCCATCTGTTTTACTTCAAGCGGCTTTGGGCCGAGGGCCAACTGCAGTGATGAACCCTGGGAAAGGAATTTTGGCTGAATCACCAACTGGTAAATTCAGAAACTTCCAAGCAGTGCAGCTGTAAAACTACCTCGAACCAAAGATGAAGCTGTTTGAGCAATGAATGAAATGAGTTATGCAAGGGCTCAAATCAGACCTACAACAAATCATTATTGAGTTGCAGTGCCCATGACAGTTGTCATGGCAACCAATAAATAGCAAGAGTCTGTGTGCTGGTATCTGAGAACGATCTGTATGCCAGCAAATGAAAGATGTGCTGATGTAATAGTCATAGTATGGAAAATGACTATGCAAATATGATGAAGCTAGCCTCATATTCTAAATGTCCTTTCTGGGGGAGTATATAGTATGATCATTAACAGTCCTCTTGGTTTCTGACTGTGAGCATATTTAGTGAAGTGAGGCAGCCAAACGTGCACCTGCCTATTTGCTGTTGTAAAATTAAATTTACATTATTGCCAACTTTGTGGAATAAAATGCTAACTTCTTTTAGGGTATTCCATGTCAATAGCAAGAGCTTATTAGCTCTGGTGCAGAATGGCCAAATATGAAGAGCAGTTGGTTGTAATTAAATTGAACAGTTGGTCAGAAGACTAAATATGTGGCAAAGCTGAAATACAAATAACATACGATTAATAATTAACTTAAATGAGGCATCCTGAGGTCCTTTACAGGAGGATTATAAAAGTAAGATGTGACATTGAGCCACATAAGGAATTGTTGGTTCAGGTGACCAAAAGCTTGGTCAAAGAGCTACGTTTTAAGTGTCTTAGAGAAAAGTAAGGTGGAATGTTGTAAGGAAGGAATTTCAGAGCCTGGGCTGTCAGTGGTGGTGCAACTAAAATTGGGAATGTAGTGCAATTAGAGTGGACCTGTCAGTTTTTGTTCTCCATTTTGTTTAGGTACTATAGAAAATAAGTTACCAGCATATGCATGTCTAATCAAATTAACTATATATTTAATTCCAATATTTCAAAGTTTTGAGTAAATCCTTCCAGTTGGTACTGTATGGAACTGCATGATCAGACAGTTGGGATGCAAGTTTGATCTTTGACTGCAGGTATCCAATGCAAACTATTTGTTGTCAGCTTATTATTATTGGATGTGATTGAATATGCTTTTCATTAGATTTTTGGTGTGATCCCAACTGATACTGTACCAGTCGGACTCCAGACTGAAACTTGGCTTGATAGCTATTAGGTTTACCCAAAACACAACACTGCTGCGATACCCAAAACTACATTATGTATCATACCAAAACAAATCTCTTATACAGTGCTCACATTAGAGTCCCTATCCACAATACCTCCACTGAGATCAAATCACTTCTGACTTTAATATGCAGACTGGAACCACAGGTTTTTTTTTCTGGAGCTATTATACACTGAGCTTAAGTGCACTCTGTTTTTTAGTAACCTCTTTGAGGTTTTATCCCAACACTTCTGGCCTGGGACTGATTCTTGATTCTAGTTCTACCAAATGCACTCTATCCATTCCTTCTCGGAAGCTCTAGCCTATACAACCTCCCTAGTCCAAGGTTTGCCCAATACCCCAAAGTAAAACTTTAAAAAATTGCCCTTTTGAGCTATGGGTGTTTTCTTTCAGCTTTAAGAAAAGTAAATTCCAGACATCTGTAATAAACTTGACATCCTGTTATTTACCTCGAAGGTAAGTAAAAATCCATTAGTTTGAAAACTCCGCTTCAAAAATTGCTTTAAAGAAATCACCATGCCTACAGAAATATTTATAAATTAACTAACTTCAGAGACACTGAAAACCCACAAGTTACTAACTCAAACAAAAAAAAAACCCAACTTGCGGTATATGATGTTGAAGAAAATATATAAATCAGAGTGTGCTTAAGACATCATAATAATTCATGGTGAGGTATTGTGTGCCAAATCTAACTTGTACCTGAATGGGAGTGCCTTTAATGTGGAAAGAGAGTCTTCCCTAAAATACATAAGAGAAAAGCATATTTAGGATAGTTGGATATAATTGCTTTAAGATGCACCTACACAAAACTAAATTATTTTGTTGCTAGCTACTTGTATCTGTTTCTTGACACAGGTATTCCAGTTCCAGCATTGCCTGTTGAATTCACTAAAGTGGTTACTCAGCCGCTAGTGGGGGCCTTATCATTTCAGTCGAATCAGAAACTCCTGGGACAAAATACAAATGAGCATAAAGCAATGTTGGAAAAGCCAAATGTAGTCGTTGGGCCATCTCCAGTTTCTGCTTCAATGACTCAGGCACATCTTCAAGGAATTCCTAATTCAGTCCTGAGTAGCTTGACCAGTCAGCAAAAACTGCAAACCCAGCCTAAAGTGTCTATGAGTAGTGCTGTTTGGGTAAGTAATATTGAGGTACTTCTTCCTTTGTTATATTCTTTCCGCCATTTCTGTTTACACCCCACACCTAGTATTTCGTGCACCTTCAATGCAAATATTAATATTGCTTGTTATGGAAGTGTGTGGAAGAAGTTATCGGGTTGTTTTCTTAGGATATATTTCATGGTGAAGTATTAGATTGTAGAATGGTTGATCTTGTGTGGCATTGTTTACAGACAACTAATAACTTGTACTAAGATAACAAGGTGTAGAGCTGGATGAACACAGCAGGCTAAGCAGCATTAGAGGAGCAGGAAAGCTGACGTTTCGGGTCTGGACCCTTCTCTAATAATTTGTACTAGTTCCCTTAAGGTATTTTTGACTTAGTTTTTACTTAACCGCCATCAATTTTCAACTTCCGTCATCTGATTTTATTACCTGAGACTTGATTGGACTAAAATGCTTTTCAAAAAGAGAAGAAAACGCAGACTTAGATGGCCATAGTGGTCATCTGACCAGGTTGAGCCAAGCTCATGAAAATAATATGACAGGAGTCTGAAACAAAATTAAAAAGGCACTGAGACTCAGTCAGGTATTAAGAAACAAAAACGGAAATTGCTGGAAAAACTCAGCAGGTCTGGCAGCATCTGTGGGTATGGAGAGAAATCAGTGTTAACGTTTCGGGTCCAGTGACCCTTCTTCAGAACTGGGGGTGAATCTGAGCCAGAGGCGTTTACTGAGGAATGTGTTGTAGCAGTAGAAGTGAGTTTTGGTAACTCCTGACAAGGTATTTACTGATGATGAACAAGAAAAAAGATTGGAATGGAAATCCTGTTAGAGGAGCAGAACATCTAGGTCGGCCTACCTTGAAGAGATGTGGCAGTGACTTAAGAACTGAATGAAGCACCGAAAGAGCTGCAGATGCTAGAAATCTGAAACGAAAACAAACAGTTGGAAAATCTCAGCACGTCTGGCAGCATTAATAGAGAGAAATTGGAGTTGATGTTTCGGGTTCAGTGAACCTTCTTATCAACCGGCGAAGAAATATTATGAAACCCTCATCCCTGTTTCTGATTTGCACCTTCCTGGAAGTTTCAATTACTGGGATGAAAGCCATTTGCGATTTATTGCACTTGGAAGGAAAAAATGTTAGATATGGAAATACGTTAGTGAACTGTATTTCAAGAAAACAGCTTTGGGGTAGGTGAGAAAAAGGACATGGTTTGATAATGGCAAAGACTGAAAGACCCCTCTCCTCTATATCCTCAACCCCATGGCATCCTAACCAGACATACCTAGAATTTGTATGGCTTAAGCAACTTGCTTTTGGCAGATATGTATGGACTCTTGAAATTGAGGCCTCTTACAAAAACATTCTTGAGGTGATTCTCCTTGAGTTTATTACCTGAATACCCTTTTCAATCCAGAAACATGGAGAGGAACAGAGGATAAGGTGCAGACAGGCAGCTCTTCTGCCTGACACCAACTTAAACTCAGGGAAGCTGCTGTGTGGAAACTGTCACAGACAGAGAGATATGGGTGAGGTAAATGCTCCTGCCACAATCTGGAGAAAAAAGGAAAGCCAGGCAGAGAAATTAAAACTGTCCCCCAAACATTAAAAGGGATTTGGATGAGAAACCACCCCAGTTGCTGCTGTTGAAAGATGACTGTGTGTAATTGAAAACTTTATTTATAGCAGAAATTTGAGCTGAAAAGCCAGTGTTTGTAGTAGTAAAGGTGGTCAATGTCTGATGGACATGACTGTTGATGAGGATAGCGGGTAGGAGTTTACACTGAAAGGAATGATGACCACTGACTGCTGTAAACAGCCAGAGAGTGCATTCTGCATTCTCTTAAAATATTGGGTACTCAACACCCACTGCTAGTGGGTAAAATAAAAGATTTTCTACCTGAATGTAAGTTTTTGGCATGTTGGCAAAAGTGCTCATGGAAAAAGGTATGAGGTGCCACTGGTGGTTACAGTTTATTTCAACTAAACTTCTTTCGGATCTTATGCTGGCATAGGCCAGATTAGGATTAACTGTTTTATTGGGAAATGATTGAGTTGGCAATAGGATATCACCCATCAAATAGATGAGGGCATACCAGAGCATCTGGGAGGGTGGAGAGAGCCAGGACTGAAAGGCCAGGAACAGTGAGGTTCAGAAGTCCTACACTAGTCAGTAAAACCAGTAAGGGCCACGGAATTAAACAGGGCTGAAATCTAGCCAGCAGGATCAGAATGGATCAAGATGGAACCTGGAGTTAGGCCAATAGTCATAAAATAAGACAACGAAGGGCCAGTGAAAATGACAAAAGTTGACAGGAAAGAGTCAGAGGTCTGTTTAACAAGAGACCTCCTCATAAAATTGCAGGAAGACCAGTGGAGTTCTCTGTGAGACCAGCTGTACGTGTGAAGGTAAAGTGGAAGAACTGCATGTGAGGAAAGAAGAAAGTGAACATCCACCCGATGGCAGTAGATTTTCAGGGAAAGTGGAATAGGTTAGGTTCCCAATATGAAGGGTAATGGGAGCGGAACATAACCCAAAGTAGAGACTGAGTGAGGTGAAAAGTTACCCAGTGGGATTTCAAAGGACCAAAACTAAGCTTCAAACTTTGACCAGTCCACTCGGGTACTTGTAAGTTTGATGAGAGAGATATGTGGGATGAGAGTCCAGATGTTGCACGAGATGAAAACATTGTATTACATCCTGCAGACCTTGTAGAAATCAAATTTGTAAAAATGCCTGCATCAGTTCTGTGGATTATAGAACTGGCTGATGTAAAGTTAAAACTTGGGAAGTGGCATGGAACAAGGCTGACTTCCATCCATGAAGCCGATTTTTGAATCCAAGTTACGATGCAGAAAGTGAATTTTGTCCCGATGTGTATCATATCCCAACTATTGTTGGTTCATAATGAAAAGAACGCTCGCCATAGAGGAAGAAGCTGTCTCGTATTGAGGTGTCGGATTGTAACAACCAAGCCACCCAAGCTCACTTTTGGGCAAAGTTAAAATAAATTGCATGACCCTCCCTTCATTTTGCCTAAATCAAAGTCTGCCCAAAACAACGATCTTATAAACTTTATTTGTAAACAAAAATATCAGCATCCAAGTTTACACGTGGAAATGGTCATTTTGAGCAAGGTACTAGAGGTGACTAGGCATTTGGGAGAAATGCCTCTGAAGCAAGAGATACCTAGAAAAGCAGCAAAATTGTTTTCTCATAATTTTAGAAACCTGACTCTTAAGAATACCACCAAATTTTGTTAATCCAGGAACTTAATGTAATTATATAAGGAATACCAGAAAGGAGTCCATATTGATTGTAAAAACTGTTCTATTTATTCTGTTATCTCAAATAGATGGTTGGCAGAGGAAAAATGTGTTGTTCAAATCTCCTTTTCTCCACAGACTACTGCAGTAAGCAACCAAACGTCGTTGTTGGGAATCCCTCCACCTGATCTAAAAGTACCGAACAATCCTTATCTTAACTTTTGCAATATACTGCCCAATCTGAGTTTGCAAGGTAAGAAATCTGGGGGGGATCCCCTCTTCAGCGTGTCAGTGAGTAAGATCAACTAGTTTTAGTAATGTTTCAGAAGGAAAATGGAACTGCTCAGACCAGTGCTTCCCGAGCATTTTCCAACTGTGACCCAGTTTTGAAGCTTTAAATGGTCATGATCTTGTTGAGAGCTTTTCGGGTGGGGCAACACTGGTCCTGAGCTCCTTAAGATCTCAATCCCACTTGGTGTCCTGAATCTCACTTAAAGGAATCCTTGAATTGAATTTTTGTTTTTAAATAGGATAATGAGGAGCCACTGCAAATAATCTGCCGTTGATGCAAGGCAAAATGCTGCATCAAAGAACTAAGTGTAAGGGAATATTTCAACTCAAATCATTCTCTCTCGTTTCCCCCCCACCCCCCATCTGTCCTGCTCCCATGCCACCATTCAACATATCATTACCTGTATTTCCAATTGAATTTGTTTCTTGATGCGTGTGAGAGATGTAGGTATGCAGCATACTAGTATGGTATTCAGGTTGACTGTACTCTCTGATCACCTACAGTTGATTTGTTCCAATTTAAAATGTACCTACACAGAGGGATTTTTGGGCTTGAGATTATTTTTCTGCACTAAGATCTGTTGTTTACTTTGGAAGTATAATATCCAATCTTCAAAATTTAGATATTTGCTAAATGTAAATGTGTGGGCAAAACCAAGCTTTCTAATATTAGAAGTTCTTTAATTTTGTTTGTTATTTCATGAAGCGAAGTGAAGATGATGAAAATCTGCCACTGTGAAGTTGCAACCTTAAAGAAAAATAGGAAGATACTTTTCTAAACTTTTTTTTTTTTGTTACCTTCACTTCCCAATGTACCCAACTAATCTATCACTTCTGTTATTCTAAATTTTTAAATGTGATCTTGTGTTCCCTTCAGTTGGAAACGCCAATAAGCATAATCCCGGGCAACAGCAGACTGGAGTACTGGAATCCATGTTAAATCCAGCAATTTCCAGGGCAACCACAGCACCTGAACTGCTGCAGACATCCGCCTCGCAGTATGCATTTGACTGCTATCCTGAGTACACGTCAAGCTGTGGGGAATATTCACAGGTAGAGATGCAAAAAGCAGTTTGCAGTGGCTGCTATCAAATCATTTGAGTTGGATTTTTAAATATATTAATTTTCCATTGGTCTTGGTAGGACTAATCTAAATGTATAAAACAGTATACTTGTGCTTTATTAAAACGTGAAATGTGCCCAACAGAATGCAGCCAAAATATATTACAGTTTAATTTTAGCCTAATTCTTAACTATGCACTAGATGAGCTTGCACACTGACTTTCCTTGTAACATTTGTGTTTCAAAGCAATTTGTTTGAACTGAAAAACAATGAGAAGGGGACAGACCAGGATAACTAAGCAGGCTTCTGGAATTTCAAGGGTGAGAAGTTTGAATTGTTGGTCAGATGAGGGTTAGCCACAAAGATGAAAGGCTGAAGAGGAAAAAAATGATTAGGATGGAATCTAAGACGTTTATGGTTGGTGTAGTTGTTTTCCACACAACTGTGTGGATGCAATTCTAGAAAATGCCACTTTCAATGTTTTGAAATTTTTTTTTTTTTTGGAGAAGTGTGTTGTGCAACAAGTATGTGATTTTGATCAATCATCTTTGAAAGTAGCTGAAAAATAGTCTATCACTTGTCATAAAATTGGTTAGGTTTTCTGAAGGAATCTACTGTTCTTTGTTTTTAAAAAAAAGTTTTGTTGGGGAAATTTGGCAAGGCAGCAAGGACCACAATGTCACATGAATGTGAAGCAAAATTCACAAAAGATTGGGAGCAGTGGATAACAAGATACTTTCTTGGGGTGAGGGGGTGTGGTGGTTTGAAAATTCATGGTAGTATGATGTTGCAACAGGGGAGAGTTCATTTTAAAAAATGGTAGGCCTGGGTACTAAATATTCCTAGATAAATTATTAGAGATGAATTGAAGATGAATACTTTTCAGTACTATACTATGTGAGACAAAGTATGGAAAGAGGCCTGTGAAATTGTTTCTGTATTGGTAGGATACCATGCAACAGTGGTACCAGAGCTATGTTCCATCACATAACTCCTCTGAGGCGTTTGTCGCAGGCTATGAAAAAGAGCAGTGTGAGGTAAGTGAGATTGCCATTAATTAGTTATTACATAAATAGGCCTATGAGTTCTAAAAGACCCATGGTGCATCACAATTTATTTATTCTGAATTTTTGTATTCTGGATCCTTAAATAAAAATAAGCTAGATATTTTTGTATGCTCTGCCCTTGTTGGAGTCTTCTGTTAAATTCAGCAATTTTGCTGCAATATCTTGGTCAAGTCAGAGACCCCCTAGTGTTGCATCATACCTGTAGCTGCTGATTCATTTGGTGCACCAGCTTGAGACCAATGTGCTTTGCCATCATAGACGCTGTTGGTTTTAGATTGTCATAAGTTTTGTATACATAAACTCTGGAAGGGAGAGAGTCTGTTGAATGAGAGGATATTTCTTCTTCGAGAAATGATTTTTGGAGCAGTGATAGCTTGGACATAAAGTGAAGCTGAACACTGAACTACTTGCATAATAAAAAACAAAACGAGGCTGAGCTATGCTTTGACATTTCATGCCACAGTGGAGAGTTTGTGCGTGTATAATAAGGGTAAAGGGATATCTGTACCTCAAAGAGAAGAATCTGATTCGGAAGAGACAGTCTTTTCGAATTGGTCCTGGTGGTAGAAAATGATAATTCTTGCTTCCAGTTTGGTCACTTTTCTATTCTTAGAAAGAGGTGATGCACTTCAGTAAGTTTGTTTTTAAATGACAATGCCTACGTTATATCTACTAGCACTTATTCGTCTGTTCATTTCCTCTTACAAGTGGAAAGGCAACAAAATTTACTGCTAATGTCTTGTGTTGTTTACTAGCATGAATTAGCTATTCTTCATCCATGAGTAGAATGCATGAAGGCAGTGCATTTCCCTCAAGTAGAGGGGTTGTGTTGTGGCAGTGTCAAGTACTGTTGTCCACACGTGGCTCAATGCAATTTGTATGAACTTTTTGTTTTCGCCCCTTCCTAACTCCTTCTCTATTATATATTCACCAGGATGAATGTTGGAGGCTAGGCCAGCATTTATCTCTCAAAGGTGTTGGTGAGCTCCTGCCTTGATCTGCTGCAATCCGTATGGTATTAGTACTCCCACAATGCTGTTGGGGAGGGATTTCCATGATTTTCATGTGACAATGAAGGATTGGTGATATAGCTCAAAGTCTGAATGGTTTGTGGCTTGGAATGGAACTAGCTAGGTGATTTGAGACCACACATTTGGAAAGTGCTTGTACAAAAACAGAAATTGTCAGCGAAACTAAGCAGGTCTGGCTGCATCTACGGGGAAGTAGCAGAGTTAATGTTTTGAGTCTGTTCCCTCTCTTTTTGTTAGAACTGCTTTCTGTTTTTGTCTTGATATTTGCAATTCTTTGTTTTATTTCTTTGCATCTTGTTGGTACATGCTGCTGTCACAGTGCATCAGTGGTGGACGGAATAAATGCTGAAGGTGTTGGCTGGGGTGCTAGTCAAATAGGCTTATTTTGTCCTACATGGCATAAAGATGCTTGTGTTGCTGGAGCTGTGCTCATTTGGGCAATTGGGAGTATTTTATCATGCTCCTAACTTGTGCCTTGTAGATGCTGGATAGACTATGGGACTGGGAGGAGTGTGCAGCCATTCAGTGCCATTGAACCACTAGGAGAATGCGTGAGGAGGTCAGCAGTGATGACGTAAAAGCTGGCTGCACAGAGCCCCTCACACTGTTTCTATCTGTCAAGTGTGTGTCACCAGAAAACAGGTGATTGGTGGCTTTTACTTTGTCTTTTTTTTAAAGCTCGGGTGTTTAAAATCAGGCAGTATTTTCCCAACTGAAGAGTACAGTTAGAAAATTCTGTTTTAAAATGTTTAACATCCAAATTAAACAGAAAAGAGATGTCTAGGTAAGGATGTGTGGCAGCTGTAGACACTGGTGCAATCCATTTCAAGTGTTGGCTGCTTGAGTTCAGCTTGAAGTTGAAGCTGAAGTCTGATATATGACCAATGCAACATATCAGGGAAGAAGAAAGACTTGCCTGGACACTGTTTCGAGACACAGTCGCACCCATTGGATTAAATGCATCAAATATGGTCCAGGAAGGTGTGACTGAGTGAGGCAGGTATTGGGGTCTAGAATTTATCTTTAGAGTAGCCTTGGTCACTGTCCTTGTCTAATAGGTATGAGGCTCATGTTCCTGATGTTGGCAAGGCCATAGGCTGCAGAGAAGATGAGCGAACTTGCCAAAGTTTACTCGCACAGTGTCATTCAAGTCTGGGAGAAAAGAGGAAAATAGTGGGTAGCATATTTAAGAGAATAGATGCTGTTTACTAGAGCAAAGACGGTCCAGAAAGTTTTTTTTGTCTACCTCATACTGAAGTTTAGGACATCTCTTCTTGGCCAGACAGAAACTTGGAGGGAAAGGATCCAGGTGTTGTAGTCCACATAAGTACCAATGACGTAGGTAGGATGAGAGTGAATGCTCTGCTGAAGGATTATGAGCAGTTTCGGGCTAAATTAAAAAGCAGAACCACAAGGGGATTGATCTGCATGTAACTACCTGAACTATGTGCGAGTTGGCATAGGGGAAATGAGATTTGAGAGGTAAATGCAAAGTTCGGGTTAATGTGGAAGGAATGGGTTCTGATTCAAAAAAAAATATGCATATGAGATCATAATCTAATCTGCACAGAAGATTGATATGGTGTGTGGAAGCTTTAACTTCTGGTACTGGAAGCCACTGCTGCACACAGACCTTCGAGTTCTGCACAATAGAAAGAAAAATTAGAGAGAGCATAGGGCACCAGCATTAGTACTGGGAACGATGGTTGTTCAGTGGGGTCAGGCTTTATTTGAACCATGCTAGGACTGAGCAAATTGCGAAACGAGGGTTGTATTTAGGGCTTTAAACTAACTAATGTGGGTAGAGGTTCAATTCTAAGGCAGTTTCAAAAAATCAAAAGAAATGGGGGAGCAGAAATGCAGCGTAGTGAAGAGGTAAATGATAAAATGCAACAGGAAGGGGCAGAAAATGCAAACAGGTGTGCAGCAGAAAACAGAACCAGATTAAGTAATGGTTAAAAAGTCAAAGCTCAAGGCTCTCTATCTGAATGCATACAACATTTGTAGAAAGATAAATGGAGTAAATGAATGAGACTTGATAGCTATCTCGGAGGTGTGGTTACAGGGTTACCAGGGCTGATGGCTCAATATTCAAGGGTATTTGATGTCCTGGAAAAGCAGATAAAAAGAAAAGATGGTGACAAAGCATTTTGAATAAAGGAAGGTATCAGTGCAGTGGTGCACAGCGACACAAGTGCAATTGATAGTGATGTTGAATCAGTTTGGATGGAAATAAGGAGTAGCAAGGGATAGAAATCATGCATGGGAGTCGTCTACAGTGCCCCAAAGAGTTGGTTCACTGGTAGGACAATGTACAAATCAACAAATAATGGAGCCATGTCAGAAGGGCTATATAATTGATATTGGTGATTTTAATCTGCACATCAACTAGGCACATCGGATGGACAAGAGGAATGTGGGAATTGAATTTGTGGTACGCATTAGGGTTTTTCATTAGACAATATGTGCACAAATGACCTTGGAACAGTCATTTTCGGACTTAGTAATGTGTGATGACTTGGGATTAATTTTGTACTTATGGGTTCTCTACTGGGTAGTGATTACAACATGTTAGAATTTCAAATTCAGATTGAAGGAGAGCAAATGGGGTCTCAAACCAGCATTCTCAACTGAAATAGGGGCAATCAGTTAGTGATATAAAGAAGGAGCTGCCTAAAATAGGCAGGGAAAATGGACTTGAGGGAAAGATAAGTCAGCAGATATTTCATAACACTCGGAAATTTTTTTGCTTTATAAAAAGGACTCAGAGAATAACAAACGACCTGCAGTTAACAAGGGTGGACAAAGAGACTATCCAATCAAAAATTGAGGCATATGAAACAGGAAAACTAGTGATGAGTCAGAGATTTGGAAAATTTTTAGGAACCAATAGTGGATGACTAAAAAATACATTACATTTGTAACAAGAGATAACAAGGTGTAGAGCTGGATGAACACAGCAGGCCGAGCAGGAAGGCTGACGTTTTAGGCCTAGACCCTTCAGATTTTCTGAAGAAGGGTCTAGGCCTGAAATGTCAGCCTTCCTGCTCCTCTGATGCTGCTTGGCCTGCTGTGTTCATCCAGCTCTACACCTTGTTATCTCAGATTCTCCAGCATCTGCAGTTCCTACTATCTCTGAAACATTACATTTGTATATAGCCCTTAAGCTGTTGATGATTTGCCCCTTGACCATCTGCACTCCATTTCCCCCAGTGCTGTTAGGGAGAGATTTATTACCTATATGATGGTTGGAAGATCATTGAACCTGTTGAACACTGAGGGATTCCTGCAGTGATATCCTGTGCCTCAGATGATTGACCTCAAACAACCACAAACATCTTGCTTTTTGTGTTAGTTATGACTCTAACAAACAGGTTTTTCTCCCCCTAATTCCCATTGGTTTGAATTTTTTATGCCTGTTTCATACTCAGTCAAATACTGCCTTGATCTGACTAGCAATTTGTCACTTACACCCTGGAGTTCAGTTCTCTTGTCCATATTTGGACTAAGGTTGCGAGGAGGTCAGAAGTTGAGTGGGCTTGGTGAAACTTAAATTGAAAAGCAATGTCTGTCTTACTCTGCTGTCCTCACATTCAGAACCTTCCCCATCAATCCTTCCTTTTTACCCTGCTACTTCGAATTCCTCCACTACCCCTCTCTATCAGTATGAAGTCTTCCTTAATGGAATGAGTAAATCTCGCTGCTAAGATATTGGTCCCTTTCCAGTTTTGGTTAGACCCATCCTTTCTGAACAGGTCTTTTCTATCCCAAAAGGCATTCCAATTGTCCAAAATCCTGAAGCCCTGAGCAATACACTAGCTCTTTCAGCCATTGATTTATCTCCTTTTAACTTTTGTTCCTTCTCTTGTTTGAGTTTGGCATTGGGAGTAAAGCAGAAATTACTATCTTTAAGGTTCTATTTTTTAATCTTCTACCTAA